GACAAACAGCACAAGAAGACAGCAATGGACTTGGAAAATAGAAGGAGGTTGCTTGCAGCCATCTCGGTGGACCCCTACATCCTCTACCGATACCCTCAGCTCCAGGATGATGAGAAGTTTATCCGCATCTTGCCAAAAAAAAAAAAAATCAACAAAAAACAAAAAACAACAACAAAAAAAAAAAACCAAAACCCAACAATTTCGCAATGAGAAACTACGCCGCGCTGTCATGGAATGGGCCACACCTAGATTTCGCAACGACCCCGTCGTCATCAAGAGACTGATGAAGCGCTGCTGGCAAATCATTGAATTTGTGAACCCTGATCTCTTGGCGGATCGAGACTTTCTCATGGAAACTTTCGACTATGGTTGTGGCTTGACGCTTCAGTTTGCCTCGCCGGAAATTTTGTCCGATAAACAGTGTGTCCTGGCTTCCTTCCGGAATGGGTCCCAACAGCTCCATTTTGCGTCGCCGGAACTACGAGATAATCCAGAAGTAGTGCTGGCAGCCACAAAAGCGTCATTATCAGCCATTGAGTTTGCTAGCGATCGGCTCAAGTGCGATCGGCAGTTTGTGTTGGAGGCGGTGATGTTGAGGCGGGAGCAGTTTGCCGCATGGAGTAACTTGCCTCATGCCTTGGAATTCGTCGATGAATCCTTTCGACATGATTATGAAATTGCCATGGAAGCTGTCAAGCAGAATTGCATGGCGTTGGATTTGCTTCAAGAGAAATTCCGTGCTGATCGACATTTGGTAATGGCTGCGGTCCAGGCTTCGCCGTATCCATGGTGCTTGCAGTGGGCGGCCGAGCCTTTGAAAGACGACGAGGAAATAGTCATGGCGGCTGTGGAAAGTTGTGGTGGAAGTCTCGAGTTTGCGTCAGAAAGGCTAAAGGCCAGCCGTGATATCGTCCTGGTAGCAGTAAGACAGGACCCTCGTTCCATCCAATTTGCTGCAGACCAGCTAAAAGCAAACAGAAAAGTGGTGTTGATGTCATTACGGCGCGGGCACGGTGAAACACTTCAATTTGCTTCGTCAGAACTCCAAGGAGACAGAAAGGTTGCATTGTTCGCTGTGGAAGCACAGCATCGCAACTGGGTGCATGTCGCAAAACACCTTACAGAAGACAAGGATTTTGTTTTGTCGGCACTCAAGATGCGAGTGGATATATTTCATTTTCTATCCACGCAGCTTCAAAATGATATAGTGGTTGTCTACAGAGCTTTCCGGACTAAGTTCGTTTTCTTTTATTCACATTTTTGGAAGAATGGAGAGGATTGGTTGCAGAGGGCAGAGGGGGCAGGATGAACAGCTTCTTCCTATGGATGCTTCTTCGTTGGCTTCCATTCTGCCAGAAACACCATGGTGTCATGTGTCTAATAAGAAAGGCTTCCAAACTATAGTAGCTAGCTACAGTGTAGCTACAGGGCAGCTTCGTTTCCAATAATTCAAACGCGAGCCGTCCTTCTTCGTACATTTCTACACCAGCACTCGTAGAAGTGTACCAGAAAAGCGGCACGCGTTTGAATCAGAAAAATCGAAGCTGCCTTGTAGATCTGCTGCCTTGACGACAAGAAACGAATCGAATCTCAATCGAATCGCAATCGAATCGAATCAACAATCAAAGAGTGACAGTCGTACTGTATACAGTGAGTGTTGCCTGTCGTGGATTGACTCGTGGATACTTTTGCGGTCACGTCAGATAGATCGATTGTTTGTGGTTGGTCGAGAACTTTGAGGTGCCAGTTTCGGCAAATTCTTTGGCAATAAGACCTGCTTGCCTCCACAAAAGTTCATAGGTGGCCCATTTATTTGCAAATTTAACGATACAGGAGCCACAAACCCAGCCTCAGGAAACTCAAGACACCACACCCCAATAGATTCCCGTCAGCCCCATCATGACTATTGAAGAAGCAGCCGCAACAGCCACCGGGGCACCAGGAGAAGATGTTGAGATTCCCGTTACGACTGTAGTCGAGATGATTACAGAACCCAATGCCCAGCAAATGAACCACCGTGGTGATGCCATCCCCACCATCACTCTACCCACGACAACAGCACGGCAACACAAAATGCACCGATTCTCCAGTCCATGGAACGAGAGGGCGGAGACGAAATTGTGGTTGTGGCGACTGTAACCAAGGCGACACCTACTTCCCGGGTGGGCATCAATATGCGGACCGATCACAATGGCGAAGTTTTTGTCAGTCGTCTTGACAATAATGGGCTCATTGCTCAATCCACCGACTTGGAACCGGGCATGCGCATACTGGCGGTCAATGGAGTCACAACGGACAACCAAACACCCCTTCAGATACGAGAAGTGATTGCCACAGCCCCAGAAGAAGTGACCATTGTCGCTGCCAGGACCACTGGCAAGCAACAAACTGCTAGTATACGACAACAATCAGTTCGGTTAAATCAAGAACTGGCCCGAGCCAAAGAACGGGAACATCAAGAATTGGCTCGAGCCAGAGAACGGGAACTGGAGCGAGGCGATAAAGAGCGCATTGATGATGCTTGTCTTTGTTGCTATTTTTGCTCCGATTGGTGTATTTATTGTCCTGCCGGAGGTTGTGACCCTCACGGTCAGCACAGTTGTTGCCAATTATGCTGTCTGGGGTGTGAGAGTGGATGTTCCGCATTGGACAATGATTGCGATGGTTGTGATGCTGTCTGTGATGTCTGCTGCAGTGATGGGTGCGAATTTTTCTGTGGTGAATCCTGCTGTGATTGTTTCTGTGGGCTGCTGGGTGCTGTGTCAGTTTAGATACCGTTGGGCTTGAATGTTCCACATTGGACAATGAGTGCGACGCTCTCTGCGGTGGCTGTGATTCCTGCTGCGCGAGTGCGTGCAACTTTTTCTGTGATGAATCCTGCTGTGAATGTGTCTTGGGATACTGGGAGCTGTGCCAGTTTAGATAGGGTATGTAGTGGACCGTACCACTACAATATCGGGAGAGCAAAAAGGAACAGAAGGTCAAGGCACCCAAAGACGTAACTTATCGCTTGTACAAGCAGGTTTGCAGGACCAAACAAGGACCAATGTCCTGGGTCTGTTCTACAAATGTAGAGGTGACCTTGACCGGAGGGAACTGTGGTACCCGGCGTTGATAAACATGATTGTTTTTTATAAACTCTTGTCGCAGCTCGTGCTCTTCCCCAAAAACTGCTGGTGTCCAAGTTCAGTCTTCTTTGGATCTATCTCTTGTTGTCCCTCGTCGCAACTGCCTTGAGAGGAACCAAATCAAAGCAAATCCAAGCAACCACAAAATTCCTTCAAATGCAACAGCCACAGTCCAAAACACGAGTTCTGCACGTGCAATCTCATCCTTGTCATTGACCCACGGGTAAGGTGTCCCAACGAGCGTTTGACAATTTTCCCAGACAATGGGGTCAACCGGAGACAAAAAATCGCACAGTGGTTTCCAACCATCGCGAGCACGAAAGGTCAACAGCCGTTCGGGTGGCACTGTGTTTTGCACCTGTTGATTGTGCTCCAGATAAGCCATGGCCATGGCATTCTTTTCTGGAAGTTTTGTGTTGGGGTCCCAAGGTACCTTTGGTAAATACCATTCTCCAAGTTGATGAAATTTGCGCAATAGCCATCTCCAGGGCATTCGTTTCCCCGTGACATGACTGGCATGCAGAACCGTTTCCATGCTTTCAGCCCACGAGAGTGCCTCCTCTTGTTCATTTCCCCCTCCACGGACCGTCAAGACAACCAAAGCATTTGGGTATTCCTCCATCAATTCTCGATACAGGAGACATGTGGGATAGTCTGCCGTGGCGTTGAATCCAGCCATGGATATCCCCTGAATAATTTCTCCCACATTTCCGCGTCCATTCTGGTGAACGATCGCAATGGCGTGACGAAGGAATATATCGACATGCCCCGGTGTGTCCACGACTCCGTCTTGAAAGTGATAGGATTTTAACCCAAGCCTCTGCAGAGCCACCACAAAGGAAGAAGTCCCCGTTCGACCCAAGCCCGCCCCAATCACTTTCATCGGCTGTGGAAGAGGCACCTCTTCTTTCTCGGGCGGCCCGGTGACAAACTTGGTAAAGATGACCTCGACCAAGTCTCTCCAACTCAAATGCTCTCGATTCTCCTTGCTGGACGACGATTCCATGCTGGCTTGAACACAAACGGCCATGGCGACCTCCACGAGACAAATGGGGGGATGCAATGGTTGCCGCTTTGATCGAGATGAACGTGCACCTCTTCCTTGGTCTTTCTGAGAAAGCCTACCTGTATCTCGGGCACACGTTTCGTCCATACAGGTAGACTGTGAGATCTTCACACGATAAGTTCTTGAATCGATATCTTGTGGGCTACTCGAGAGCTACTTTCAGTGACCTACAACATCAGCTCATGTGGACTAGCCTGTGACTGAGCCTATGGTGCTAGAACTAGAAGGCACCCCAAGTTGGGCTTTGAAGCAGCATTACTAGTGTTATTGCTCTAAAGCTCACTTGGAGTGGATCAATTTGCATAGGCTTTTGATCCATAGAACCTCCAATCAATTTACAATAGGTTAGAGGGTGGGTAAGTGGGCTGCTTCTTCACAAGATCGATCGATCCAAGAAAAGAACAAAAGTGAGGAATCGGGGCTGCAGAGGTGCATGCGCCCTTTTCGCGCGAAGCTTCACTACATCTACCTGTATCTCGGGCACACGTTTCGTCCATACAGGTAGACTGTGAGATCTTCACACGATAAGTTCTTGAATCGATATCTTGTGGGCTACTCGAGAGCTACTTTCAGTGACCTACAACATCAGCTCATGTGGACTAGCCTGTGACTGAGCCTATGGTGCTAGAACTAGAAGGCACCCCAAGTTGGGCTTTGAAGCAGCATTACTAGTGTTATTGCTCTAAAGCTCACTTGGAGTGGATCAATTTGCATAGGCTTTTGATCCATAGAACCTCCATTTGTGTAATCAGCCCATGTGAAATGTTATGGGCTGATGAAGTGGATGGTCCATGTGTGTGATGTTGTATGAGGTTGATGAACGTAGTGGGCGGTTCGTGCCATGAAAGGCCCGGCTATGTTCAAGTCACCGATGTAGAATGGGTGTTGAAAGAGTGCTGTGGGTATTAGTTTGGAAATGTGAAATAAGAGACAATCTAGTAGTTAAGATTAGTCTTAATGGTGTGTTGTTAGATGTGGGTGAATGGGTGTGTGTGTCATGTTTGTGAATGGAATGTGTCGCTGCATGCGTGCTGCCAAGCCGTTGGTTAGGGCTCCAATTTGTTCGTGAATGTATTGTAGGAAAGTCCTGGAGGTCCATCGGCCTTGTTTCATGATGGTGATTTCGTCTGCACCATTGAGTTTCATTGCCATGGCTCCTCCAGCCCGTAGAGAGTGGCTGCTGACATTGTCTGGGGTGAATCCATATTGTGTGAGATTGAGTTGGGTGACTGCTGACTTGATGGTGTTGTTAATGTCACGGGGTCGGATTTGCTTGGGTGATCGATCTGGCATGTCAAAGTAGGTACTAATGGCTGTGTTCATATTGGTGGTATGTTTCATAATGTGTGCAACCCGTCGTGCAAGAGCTTTGACAGGGCTTGTAATCGTGTGGGTGCATTGGTGATGGATGCATTGACCCTTTCGTCCATTTTTCTGGTTGGTGATCCTGAGGGTTGCATATTCAGCTGTGAGAAGGATGTGTAGGGGGGCATTGTTGGGTATAAGCGATTGGTCTGCTCGGCGTAAAATGATGTCTTTGACCCGAAAACGCTGGGTTCGACGTTGTTGCTTGGGAGGAGTGTAGGTGTATTCGCCACTGCGAAGAAGGTAGTAAGCGGCAATGCAGATCGATCCAAGAAAAGAACAAAAGTGAGGAATCGGGGCTGCAGAGGTGCATGCGCCCTTTTCGCGCGAAGCTTCACTACATTGCTTTGCTCAACATGTGCATCGCAGAGCAATACGACTCCTCCCTTGAAGTGAAGATATTGATTGCAAAGCAGGATTTATGGAAAAGATGTATTTTCGCCAGCCTTTCTGTACGATTTTACCGGTTGTTGATCTGGCACAGGGACCTTTAAGTCTTTGAGTCCTGTACCAGATCCCTACCACTATCAAATGTCTGCAAGCCCAGTTTCTGGCTCACCCTGCGTGCAGGACTCCTCATAGGAGCCAGAAACCGTTACCAGCTGTTAGAGTTGGCACTCCCTAGCTGGGCCTGTGTGATCCAGTTTGGGACAGTTACCTAGAAACTACCAGCTCATAATTGTTAATAACTAATCTTTACTAACAACTTCTTCCCTAGGCTCCTGCCTGGATCAACACCGGTACTCCAAAATCGTCGGTACCGAATACATGAACATGTAGTACCGCACATGTGCACTACGCTAAAAGCTAGTATAAAGATCTTTCGAGTGTTTTGAGTTTGAGAGAATGAAAATTATGAGAGAGATTAGAAAGCTATGAAAACTAATCAACGAGAGAGATCATCATCAAGGGATCGTAGATCTGGCTTCCCGCGGGAGACTATGAAGTGTGATAGAGTAGGTTGTGGTAGTAATCCTACGTCTCTCCACGATCCTAAAACGGAACGCGTGGAAGGTTTGTCTAGCCTGGATTTAGTAGCGTGGAAGTACTCCACGTTGGCTAAATATCTAGAGCGATATTTCATCATCAACCTAGTATGACTAGCGCGGTCATTGAGAACCCTGTCTCAAATGACTATTCACGAGAGACTCAGTCATGAGTCGAACTCAAACCCTATCTAGGATCGAGTCGCGAATAAGGCTAAGAGCGGTGTATTGCATTCGCCCCCTGACAAGGGTCACAGAAGGCGCGACAGCAGTCGGACAAGGAGAACATATGATTTAAAGTGCGGGGCACTCTCATGAGATTTGGATGTAGA